GGGAGTGATACAATTCGAAGTGACATCGTCATCAGTGTAGTAATTCATCTTCAGTTTAGTAATTCATAATCTTATTTTTGTGTTTATGGTATTATAAATGTACTTGAATAATACAAAAGCAAAAAACAAAAAAAATGTCAAGTTGACTTTGTGTGTGTTCATTTTCGTCACTTAATTTTTAAAATAAAATAATCTGCAGCTGTCACGAGCCTTGATACATCAAAAAAATTTTTTTTCTGTTTTAATACAAAATGAATGTTATTTTTACTTTTAATCATTTGTTTCACTTGATAATTATTCATTATCGTGGGTACAACCAATATGCTTGTTGCTTCATATTTTGTTATAAACTAACATTTCATATCAAAGTTAATTGTTTATTTATAAAAAATATAAAAAATACTTAAATTATTTTGATTAATCGATCAACCAATTTGCAATGATTGAAATAGTGTTACTTTTGTTTTTCCTTATTCAATTTTGTCTTATATCACCTCACATTCAAATCATCACAATTCAGTTTAATTGAGCAGTTTGCTGAGTTATGGGGTTTAAAAATCTAAATGTTATTTGTATATAATATGAATTATTATATAATATTGTATGATATATTGAAGAAACATAATATTATATGAAAAATATGTATCTAACACCACTTGAAAACCTGTAAATTAGAAAAAACTCTATTCATACGTGATGATCTCATTTTTAGCATATTTACAGCAAAAAAACGTTAGGACAGCATAGATAAAAAGTCGGTTTTATGGGGTCCTAGTGGTATAAAATCTGCGCAGAGCTATCGAAAACGTGATCATGGCTTTCCATAGCGACGTTTCATTTCGTTGAATATTTTATGGGAAGGTTCTACTGTTACAACTACAATCAATTATTGAACTGTCAACACTAATTTGTAATTATGTCGAGTCAAACCTCATCCTAGCGTAGGATTCAGTTTAAAATGAAGTAACTTTTGTTGAAACAAAATTAAATGCTAAAAAAATGGAATCATCAAATTAAGCTCAGTGATTGAATTCATTAGAAAATATAAAATTAATAAAATAGGTTAACAAAAAAAACGTAAAAAATTAGTACGTAAAAAATAGTACGTAAAAATTGTACGTAGAAAGCAATATGTGCGTACATTTGTTAAGCTTTAGTAGTTCGTATCAAAATTCACACTTTCACTTTCACATCAATGTATCCACGAATCATATAACTACATTGACATGTAACGAATTGAAATGATTCTGTTCATTTTGATCGTAGAAATTCTCAAAGATTTTAAAAGTTTGAAATGAAAACCAATTGTAGCACAAATATGCGGCAAATCTTACGTTCAGTGAATTGAACTTTCTATTTATATCTCGGCGTATCTTTCGTACTTTTGTTTATGCGCTCCTGACGTTCCATTCACAATGTTTTCTCGGAAGTTTCATTTTGTACAAATGATTGAGTACCTTTTTATGAAGTTATTTCTGAAAATTTGTTATTTTCTCAAGAATTTAGCTTAATAACCTGCAAATATATTTTTGTTGAAATTTAATAACAATGGTTTAAAAAATAAAATGAAGGAATAATAAAAATCTGTTTTATCAAAGAAAAATTGAACACATGATTCAATCCAATCTAAATTTATTAAATTCTAAAAAACCTTTGAAGACTTCTTAATTCCATTAAACTATTCAGCAAAACTTTTCTTTTCAAATCCCCTGTTAAATATGAGTATATAAGAAGTAAGAAAATGATTGTTGTTATTTCTTTAAATAAATCATAAATACCTCTAATCACATTTTAATAAACAGTTTTTGACTGAGCCAGCGATAAAAATGATGAAATGATGAATTAGACTTAATGCACAGACCAATAAACAATCTTATCAACTCCTTCTTCTCGCTACCAGGTAAAGAATGTTCCTCATTTATAAGCTCCAGTCTGCTTCAAGCATTCATACCAAACATTTGCTATAGTTCAGTTCCTTTTTCTGTTTCCTTTTATTTCAATTTTAAATGGTAAACGTGTTACAATAACAAATGTGTTTCGAGCTTGCTGTTCAATATAACTTGTATAATCTATCCTTATTTATCCTAATCTGTTTTGTTTTCATACAGTAAGAAATTTTTAATACAAATTTTGATAGACTGTTTGTATCGTTAACTTCCATAGCAAAAATTAATTAAAATAACTAAACAACCGTAAAAATTTTCAGTGTCTCATTTTTTCATTTAACGAATCGTGTTACATCAATTTGAATGTCTCAAATCCTCATCTCCCCACGGCTCGTAAGACAATAGTTCTTTTCTAAAGCTCATTAAATTACTTCTCGGAAGCATCTTACATACAGACGCTTAATTTGACAAACAATTTATGACTACAATTATTTATTCCGACAAACATGCTACCCACTATATCACAAATTCCTCCATCCATCATACCATTGTTTTAAAATGTCTGTTTTTGGGGTTTTGTTTGTTAATTCATTTATTTGCTTTTTTTTTGTTTGTTCATCCATTCACTTGTTTGTTCATATATTCAGAAAATTTATCACCAGCAAACATTTTTTGTTAATCCATTAAATCTTTTTTATGATAATTTAGTCAGGCGCCTATAGCCACTAATATTATAATGCAGATTGAATTTCGACCATCTGTATGAATCAACTCCTTGCCGTGGTCTGTAAGATTTTGTTGTACTAATTGCATTCCTTGTCGGTTGAAACTACTTCCTGTTATATTTTCTGTTCTGATTGTGTGTTGAAAGTGTATTCATCGAGTACTGTCGTTGTTATCATCATTTGCAGCCTACGTGTCTCACTGTTTCATGCAAGTCATTTGTTTCATAATGTTTTGAAAATCATTTGTTAGTTTTGCGTGCAAGACGAAAAGTTGGCAGTTGTTCGCTTCCTACAACATATGAGTATGACCGACAGACGTTTTATGATTTGAATAACTGAGTGAAGATTAGTAAATACGAAAAATATTTTAAAAATTAATTTAAATAATCAAAAAAACTAAATCTTTTTCATTGTTAATTAATATTTTCATATTTTGACCAGAAGGTTTTTATAAAAAATTCAATGAAAACAAATTTTCATTTTATAGACTAAGCGGAAAAAAGCAGCTGATGGAAAGAGTGTTAATAATTAACGCTGCTCTATGAAAACCACTTCGTGATTTATGGCCGGGTTTTTCTCGCGCGTAATTTTTTACGCAAAAAAATTTTTATGTCATCATCTAAAAATGTGGTCCACCATATTTTCCTTTTTTTTAAGTTTCATTTGTTGGACGAATTTGACGGAAATATAAATAATTTGTGACGTAGAATCGAAATTAACGAGAATTAATTAGAGACCTGTAGGTGAAAATCGTCATTAACAAATAACAAATAATTGTCAGAGAGCAGTAATTAATAAAAATTCATATCCATTTGCAAAAAAAAATCCGTAAATAATTTTCAATAATAAATAATAATTTAAAATAATTGCAATGGTTTAAACTTTGTTAGGTTTTGATTAATTTTTATCAAAGGTCTAGTTGCAGCCATTTGAAATCTACTGTTGTTTTGTATGCGATTAGATTTGCGTCCTATATCGTCCGTTCAGTTTATGTTATACAATTGCATGAACTTTCATTGAAGGCAACTACGGCACGGAAATTCAAATTGCTTCAAATTCAATAAATAAGAATATCAAACAAAAGGTAACAATCCACATGGGAACAAGTGCAATCTCCTGTCTCAAGTGTCGTTGTTATACAATTTTTAAAACAATGTAACACACGCACACACACGCACGCACACACAAACGCACATGAAAAAATGTCAACACGGAGAACGGCAGGCAAGAAACAGAGACGGATGAACATATGTCTGGAGAATGAAGGACATCTCTACTGACGACAGACGTCAACTGACGCAAACCTAACCTAATAACGATCTCAAGACCCACTTTGAATACTAATAAAGTCATTTTTAATCGAGAAGCGCAGGCGATTTCACACATGCGGTGCGAGGCGCAAGCGATTTTTTTGGGAAACATAACATATAAAAATATGAACTACACATCAATATGTGTGAAAGCAACATGAACTACACGCAGGCACATTGCATAAATACAAAAAACTCTTCGCACATACATCCACAGGTACACACAGATCGCTCACACAAACACATTACACATGCATAACACACGTTACACACACATAAAACACAAACACACAGTGTATGAGAACAGAATGCAAGCTCAGTCTTGAATGAATCGCATTTATTCAACAGGTGAACGAGCGTTTGTAGCAATTTAGTTTTTGCAATGTTTATGTGTTTGTGATTGTGTTTGTGTGTGTTTGGTTCTGCAATCCACATTTATAATTTCTTTATTTTTTTGCCATCATTTCAAAATTTTTAAATCTTTCCAAAAACCACAAATTTTAACTTTTACTTTGGCAAATATTTAAACTTTAGTAATTTATCTTTATATTACGTGTAGTTTTTAATCTGATTGTTTGTATCGGTTAACTGAACAATAAATTGAAATTCGGCATTGGCTACGAGGTTCTCATTGTCAGTGAAATTGTCTCTGTTAAATCTCCAAAGTTTGTGCTGATGGGACCAAGATGAAATTGGATGGTTGAGAACTGTTAATTGAAGTGAATTGTTACAATGAAAAGTGAGTGAGAAGTGAGTGAGAAAGGTTGTTTCTGCTAGGGGTTGGACGTTATTAGTCTATAAAAAAAAGTTATTCGAATGATCAGTGGAAAATGAGAAAAAAATTATCAAAATTGTTGGTTGTAAGAAATTACTTTAAAGAGTTGTATTATTACTTTAATTAAATTTTTTCCCAAGAAAACAAATTGATAAACTTTGTTATCACATCATGCCTGAAGCAATCGTCATAAGTGGCTTCCGTTCATCATCATCATCATCATCAATATAATCTGCTCTGCACCGTGATAGCAAACATAACAAACAGTGACGTGCGTTACGATAATGACGATGACACGAGTGCAATGGCGGCAATTGAAGAAGAAGATGATGATGAAGATGAAGGTGAAGTTGTTGATGATGAAGATGATGAAGATGATGATGACGTTGTTGATGATGAAGATGATGATGAAGATGTCGATGAAGGTGATGATGAAGATGATGAAGATGATGATGAAGATGTCAATGAAGGTGATGATGAAGATGATGATGAAGATGATGATGAAGATGATGATGAAGATGATGATGAAGATGACGATGAAGATGATGATGATGAAGATGAAGGTGAAGTTGTTGATGATGAAGATGATGAAAATGATGATGAAGTTGTTGATGATGAAGATGATGATGATGATGTCGATGAAGGTGATGATGAAGATGATGATGAAGATGAAGATGATGACAATTGATGATGGTTGCAGAGATTTGAAGAATTTTTATTAACTACATTGTAATGAACGAACATGCAGACAAAAGAAACAAAGACAAACAATAAGACATGATTCATAGGCAGGGTATATACATAAACATGAGCAAGAAGTATGGGTAAAAATATTTGATCTGTCATCAGATAAACATACATGAATATCACTGTATAAAATATAATATATATAAACGATGATGATGATGATGACGATGGTGATGATGAAACAGGATGATGATGGTAACGATGATGATGATGATGTGGACGGTAATGGGGATGATGATGGTGATAGCGACATGATGTTTGTGTTGATGATGACAATGATGATGATGACGGTGATGATGATGATGACGGTGATGATGATGGTTTGATTGATGATGACGAATGATTAATTGATATCTGCGCCGAGTCACACAATAACCAATTTTGAAAATAATGGTGATGATGATGATCGTGAGGGTGACGATGACGATTGTGATGATGATGAGGAAGATGTTAAAACTTAATAAAATTCTTGCGGCATAATAATAATTAATTAAAAATTCATTAATCTAAAAACTGATAAAGAACCATAAAAATCATACCCTAGATATAGTGTAATGTCATACATAAATAATAATAATAATAATAATAATAATAATAATAATAAGAAGAAGAAGAAGATGTCAATGATGATAAAATCATTGATGGTTATGTGAATTATAAAATAATTGTGATGGCAAAAAAAGTTCATCATAATCATTGCTCATCATCATCACTAACATCACTTATCATCATCAACATTGACATTATTTATCATCATTATTGATAAGCATCACTTGTCATAATCATTTATTAACATCACTCATCATCATTGTCATCATTTATTAACATCATGTGCCACCATTTGGGCAACTCTTATTATAGTCATCACCACTTTAAATTGAAAAATCGCGTGATGCAAGAGCTGAACAAAATTAGCCCCGATGCATTTGATGGTGATGTTGAGGAAGATGAGAATGATGACGCTGCTGATGGTGATGATGATGATGTCAAGGATGATGATGATGAAGATGAGTAAGGTGGTTCAACTCATCATGTTCATATGTATATATGATGATGATAATGGTGATGGTGATGTTAATGGTGATGCTAATTATGATGACTAGGAAAATAAAGGACGATGTTGATCTAAATGATGATGATGATGAGGATGGTGATGATGGTGAGGATGATGGTGGTGAAAATGATAACAAACTGTGATATCAATTATGATGATAATGAAGGAGGGATATTGATGTTGATGATGATGAAGATGATGTTGATGATGATGATAATGTCAACGTTGGATTATCTCCTATTAAAAATTAAAAGTTCAAAAAGTTCATCACGAAACACGCCAGTTCCACCTCATTTAAACGCCCCAACGATAACATAAAAAACTTGTTAAGATGACGACGACGACTATGATGATGACCATGATAATGATGTTTATGGTGATGATGATGGTGAGGATGAGGGCGTCGTGGGCGTAAATAAGAATGGTGAAAAAAATGATATAGATATTAATGATCACGATATGAATGGGGCTGATGGTGAGGACGACGATGACGATGACAACGACAATGATAATGGTGATGACTTAGATATTAACGGTGTTGGCAATGATTACATTTCTGCTTTAATAGATTTTACAAAAATTTCGTCTAAAAAATTGAATGAAAATAATTTAATTTTTTTCAAAAGTTCGGGGGTTCCGAAAATATTTTGACGTGACAACATGTTGTTCATCTTGCTGTAATTCAATTTTGTTATTACAAACTTTTACTTTAAATGTTAAATAAAGAATTAATTTTTTTTATTTGGAGCTTGAAAGACGCCACTGAACTCATTTTTAGAATTACAGTTTATACGTTATAAGATAGTTAACAGAAATAAGTCAACACAGAACAATGACAAATAAAGTTTATAAGATTAGTTCAAGCCAATTCTTTTTCCTCTTCACTGGCTTCCGGTTTATCAAAGAGTTATTTTGAGGATCTTTTTAACAGATTTTAAATATATTAAGGAAGTTGCCCTTAAATATTTAACTGACAAAATCATTCTTAGAACATTGTGTTCTGACAATTCAGGTTTACTGTTTGTACCTGATACCAAAACGTCATATCCGGCACCTCACTGTGAAAACAAGTTTAAAAGCAAAAACTGAATAGGCTGCTAAAATTTTCAATCTAAATAACAATTGCGTAAGTGAAAAACTTTTGGCAAAATTCATGCAATGAGGGAGTGCAGAATCAGGTTGAAGTTTAACTTGTCCATCCAGATGGATAGGATTGGTAATCCTAAAATTTCATCCTGTTTCTTTCGTTTCGATATGTTCGAGTTTTGGCTGACAGTTGCTTTTTTATAGTGATTTTTCAAAAACAGTTGATCTGAAAAAAAACATCTAGGAAATGTTTGAAATGAATTCAATTGAAATGTCTATATTTGGTCATGATACTGTTACGCGAGGTTTGTTTTTGTGCTTTTGATGAAGGATCCTAATTCGAAAGATGAAATCTTGTGTTCTGCTCATTTCTGCCATCTGATCAATGAGATTATCATGATTGATAGCATTTCATAGATGATTCACATAACGTTCTGCAAATTTAATGCTCTGCACACTTTTCTTGAATAACAGTTTTAGTTTATTGCTGTATTTGATAAGTAATACGAAATATTCAATGACAAATTAGAACATTTAGAATATTTAAAATACGAATATTGAAATAAGATTTTTGATGTTCAACGCGAGAAATTTATTATATTTCAATTTCTGGTCAAAGGTATCTAACATATTGTTTAATTGAAATAAAAATCATTTTCAAAAAGTGAATGCCTCATCTTGATGATTCCTTGCCTAATTTGACTTCCATTGACTCTGTGAACATTTTTTTAGTAGGCAACGTAAACGCTCGTATATCTAGTATGATATTTTTGTATACTTATAAGTTTGTTTGAGTGTGCGTGTGTGTTTTTTTGTGTGTGCGTGTGTGTTTGTGAGTGTGTAGTGTGTGTGTGTCTGTATCTGTATCTGTGTACGTCTCCAAAAATATTAAGAAATGTTAAAACTATCGATAAACACAAATGTTCAATTCTGTATGAGGAAGTAAGAAAATTTGAGAAAAAAAGTTTAGAACAGAAGATGATGAGGCGTGAAACATTTCAAATTGATCAAATTGACAGATAGTGACCCGGAAGCGTGTTCGATTGTACGAACTTACAAGAGCATGTAAGATGAATGTGTGCGTGTGTATGCATGTGTGCATGCATGCATAAAAAATAAGAAGCCCAGGTTGGATAATAAGTTTTGTATCAGGATGAATTTGTATGTTTGCGGGTGAATGAATGTTTACTTTTGATCGATATCTGCAATAACATGAAAACATCTGTTACCTCAACAAACAAACGCTGGACAACGATCCACTAACTAGTCACTAGACAAAAGCATATCAACAACAGCAACAACAACAACAGCAGCAGCAGCAACAACAACAACAGTCAAAATGTAAACAACAAATTTGTTTCGGAAATATTTAATTTTAATTTGCAGCATTTCAATAGTCAGAAAACCTGCCACAAATCAACAAAATTTCTACAGGTGCAAACATTAAATGGTCAGACGATTTTAAAACGAGGACAGCCAGACAGCCATTCATACTGGTTATAAAAAAAAACATTCAGATCGTTACAATGAAATAAGTAACGAAAAATCAACAAAAATAGTTGAACCTAGTTCTAAAAAACCGTTGAAGATCTCATTTTGTATCGATCCGGCAAGACCTGGGTGTGTGGTTTGTGTGTGCGACTCCCAATTTATTTTCAATTACCTTTACAACGGTATTGAAAGTGAAACTCATTTAATTAACGTTTTAATTAGATCTGAAGATGTAAGAAACACGTCTTGAAGATAAATTATTTATCTAATTTAATTTACTTTATTTATTTAATCTACCTGTAGCATTATGCTCTCATGAATGTGTAAATAAGTGAGTGTGGATGTGTGTGAGTGAGAATGGATGTGTGTGGGTGAGTATGGATGTGTGTTTACTGGAAAATTTTGGACAAGTGAATTTAACATTTCTTTTTCCAGTTTATTTTTGTCTTTCTTGATAACAAATGATATTTTTGCAGAATTTTGAAATTTTATGTTCCAGGTGATTGTGCTTGATGAGTTCTTCAGTGAACTCTACCACAATCATCCTGCCTTCTTGCTATTATATTTTACCATTATGAGGAAGGAATAAAATATTGTATTGTACGTTGTTGTTCTACCATTGATATGACCGTTTTTGTAACAAGTTAGGTACACATATAGAACAAAGTAATTTAAAAAAATGTGTAGGTGTTATGTGTATGAATGTGTGTGTGTGTGGTGTGTGTGCGTGGTGTGATGTTGTTTATTTCCACGTTATTGATTCATTCCTCCATCCATCCATCTATCCATCCATCCATCCATCCATCCATCCATCCATCCATCCATCCACCCACCCATCCATCCATCCAACCATCCATCCATCTCCCAACCAACACAACCCTCCTATATACTTTGGCTGCTGCCTACATACAAAAAATTTTGTATGCTCGCTAAACAAAATTGAAAACATTGATGTTGGTTGTTGGTTGGGATGGAAGATGTTCTCACTGTCAGCACCAAACATTCCTTCGTTTATTTGCCTTGTTGTCGTTTTTTCATTTTTTTTATCTTTTATTTTTTAACCTAAAATTAAATTTTCATTTAAAGGTTTAAAAATAAAAATGAAAATTTTAAAAAAATATAAAAAGCCGATAGAAACAAAATTATAAAAATTGAATATAACTGTGGTTAAAAAAAACATGTCTAATGGGGTTAATAACATTTAAACATCTGTTGGGTTTTAAAATAAAAAAATACACAAGTCACGTAATTGTTTAACATTTGTTGCTCGCAACTTTTCTTTTGTCAATTAGTTGATGTTTGCTACAATTTTGTTGTTGTTCACGTGTTCTTGCGTTTTTGCCTAGCGTAGTATTTTTAATTGGTGTGCCACCATTAAACAAATTAGAAAAATGTTAAAGTTACAGATGGTGCAGAATTAAATTAGACGGTCATTTGCATTTGAAGTCTTCACGTATCCTCTGACATTTCTGTACGATGATTGCACGGAAGTTCCATCTTACACCTCACACACAATCTTTAAAATGACGAACCGGCAGACGACGAGGAAGTCACTTCACTGGCATTTTATTGTTTGTGGTGGATTATCGATTGTGTGCTGAATGTCCTGTTTAATTGGGTTCAAATCTGAAGCAATTTTCGATGCAAATGTTTTAATGTATGCTTTTGATTGTTATAAAGCAAGTTTTCAATACGTGCCGTTGGCGAAAACCTCTGTCAAATATGTTTTTGCTGCTGTTGTTGTTAGTAGAAAGTGTAGTAAGGCAATTTTGTCGTGTTTTTTACACTTAATTTCTTGTCATGAATTTGAAGAACTGAAGAACTTGACGTATAGATGCTGCATTTGGTGATTGTGCATGTTTTTGCAGAAATCAACTCAATTGTTTCGCAAGAAAAGTTTTCGTGCATTGCAATGCACGCAAGCCAGACTGTATGTTTTCCGTTTCTTCATTCTTGTTAATGTGAAATATTTATGTGAAATTTTTGTGTTTAAAGAATATTTAATACACTATCTTAAGAATGTATTTGTAATTCCAATTTTAGTACCGATATATTTATATTTTTGTATTATATTAATAAATAATAATTTTTGCAATTTCATGTAAGTTAAAAAAACACGAAAACGTTCGGAGCAGTTTTGTGTGGGTAAAATAATTCACAAGGTTTTCCTAACAAATATGAGATATTTAAAAAAATAAATAATTTAATCAATGCAATAAAATATAACACAAAAGATAGATGATCCCTCCATTATATACAAAATCGTGAAGAGTTTTTAACAATGCGAGTTCATTGAAAACTTAATTAAGAAGCTATTTACTGGGATTCTATGGGGTCCATATCACAATACCATCTTCATTATTTCCTGACCGAACTATAAACGTGATACCGTGAATGCGTTTTTTCAGGATTAAAATTTTTAAAATTATAACTTCACTATCGTCCTTGCCATCACTTCATCAGCATTAGAAAACATTTTGTATCATTTATTAACGTTATAATATAAACAATATTTTCAATCTTGTTTCGTTAAGCAAAATATCATCCTTATTTTTAGTTCATTCATTACTATGGTTTCAAAATGATCGCTATCAATATTGTTAACATTTTTAATTTTTTCACAGGTTTATATTTGAACTCAAATTTACGAAGAATCATTTTGAAAGCGAAGGTTGCTTACATTCCAAACAACCCCTCTGAGTAAATATTAAATTGTAATGTTCTACATTTTTTAATAAATAAGAAAATAAACATCGGACCAACAGCAAATCAAGGAAAATACGTTTTCCTGATAGAACGTTAATACGTTAATAATAATTTGTTTACCATGCCATCAAACGAAACGTTGACCGATTACAACCTGCAAATGATCTTGATGTCCATGACCTCTCCAGCGGAAGTGGTGTCAACAGACGAGCAGGACAACAACGTGGTCACTGATGTCGCTCCACCTGGCGATCGAAGTTGTGACGCCATGAGGACTAACAGCGAGAGTGTCATCGTATCTTTGAAGATCTTCATCTGTCTTTCCGTTGTTTTCATCATTGTCGGATTGGTCGGCAACTTCATCAGCCTTGCCGTCTTCACGTCACGTGACATGAGGAAAATCTCATCCAACGTTTATTTGCTCCTGTTGGCTCTTTCAGATTCCATCTACCTAATTTCCATTTTTTTCCGTAAAACGTTAGCCATCTTCAAATGCTGGGGCATCATTGATTGGAACTATGATGCCCTGACGCACAGCAGAGCAAGTTGTATGACTACGCTGTTCTTCGTCGACCTGGCCTCCAACTGTTCCAGCATCTTAATTTTGCTCTTCACCATTGAAAGATTCTGGGCAGTCTACTTTCCAGTTCATTTCAAAGAGTTTTGTAACGTACGCAGATCTTCCTATGCTGGTTTATTATCATTAGTTTTCATTTTACTGACCACGCTACCGACGCATGTGGCGTTGATTGATTTGAACACCACTTACAACATTTGCTCGGTCGTTCAAACGAGCTCAGGCGTATTCATTACAGTCGAGAATATTGTCTACAGAGTAGTTCCAGCCTTCATAATTATAGTTTTCAACAGTTTCATCATCATCAGAGTTGCACAGATCACAAAAACCAGAAACAAGAGAAGAACTGCATCGGCTTCAGTTGCGAGGAATAACGCGGTGACTACAACGGTGAGCAGCCACAAAAATGACATTTATTGTAAGAAAGATTTTCAAAACAATTTAGGATGTAAAAACATTTCTAAATTCAAGAAAATTTCTGTCTTGAGACCTCCGCAACAAACTCAAGACATTGAGATGGAACAACTGCACGACAACAAAAACAACTGCGTTGAAGAAAACGACCGTATCGAAAGCAACAATATTGTAAACAATATAAAAACAAACAACAACCACAACAATGACGCAACAAACAACAAAATGAACCAACAACAACAGATGACAGCAGACGAGTTGACACCGCATCAACAAAAACCACTCTCACCAGTTGAGCCGAAGCACGAACCGCAGCCTCACGTGCAACAAATCGAACGCAAACGCAAACGCAAGGAAGACAAAAGTTTGCAGTTGACAATAACTCTCATTTTAGTTTCCAGCACGTACCTCATCGCATTTCTTCCAAGTTTCATTTATAGCATTTTTGACACGTTGTCACTGAATGGTTACCTCAGCATACACAAAAGTGTCCGCAGAATGGCAAAAAACTACACGGACCTCCTCTTCATGACAGCGTTTGCAAATAATTTTTTCCTCTACACACTCAGCGGTAGAATATTCAGAGAACAGATTAAGAAAATGTTTTGCTTCAAGAGATGCTGTGAAGCTGGTGTGTCGGAAGGAGCGTGCAACAGGAAGAACATGACCACCACCCACATGTCTGAAGTGCCAAGCAAGCCCATCTAGTCTCCCACCATCAAATCTCACCACATCTCGTTTAAACTACTTTCAATTGTGACGCAACTTGAAAGATATAATATTTTTTATGAAAATAATTTTTTGATTTATAAATTTTGAATGACTTTCATAAGACTGATAGAAACATTTATGTTCGTTACGCAGAAAGTAAAAGAGAAAGAATGAGGCTAATTTTTTTGCAGATGTTTTTGAATAACGACGATGATCTTCGTCATTATCTAAAATGATGACGATGCAACGACAAAGATGACGAAGATTGTGATAATGATGATGACAAAAATAGAGTGACTGCAGTGATGAACAGTGTCCTGACAAAAGCAATAAAGTAATGAACTTAATAGTCGTGTAAACAGACCACTTTGAATTAAATTTATTGTGTGCGTGTTTGTAATGATGAAAATGATGGTACTGGAGATGGTAGGGATGAAGAGTAACAACAGCTGATAGTGATGTTGTTAATGATGTTAAAAAATGATCTAAAAAACGTAATTGCTATGAAAATTTCATAAGAATGATTGCCATTGTAATCACAATGATGATGAGCACTTGAATGATACATCTTGACAGCGAACAAAGTTTGTTAGTTTGAATAATCACTTATGAAAAAAAATAAATTGGACCAACAAAACAATTGATATCAGTTGCTGATATTGTGGGGATCCTGGATTGATAATCAAGCAGTGATGATACTTTCAAATTTGAATGATTTTCAATCCCAGATGTGACAGCGTGATCAACACAAGAGGCCACCAATCATCTATCTATCTATCTATCTATCTATCTATCTATCTATCTATCTATCTATCTATCTATCTATCTATCTATCTATCTATCTATCTATCTATCTATCTATCTATCTATCTATCTATCTATCTATCTATCTATCTATCTATCTATCTATCTATCTATCTATCTATCTATCTATCTATCTATCTATCTATCTATCTATCTATCTATCTATCTATCTATCTATCTATCTATCTATCTATCTATCTATCTATCTATCTATCTATCTATCTATCTATCTATCTATCTATCTATCTATCTATCTATCTATCTATCTATCTATCTATCTATCTATCTATCTATCTATCTATCTATCTATCTATCTATCTATCTATCTATCTATCTATCTATCTATCTATCTATCTATCTATCTATCTATCTATCTATCTATCTATCTATCTATCTATCTATCTATCTATCTATCTATCTATCTATCTATCTATCTATCTATCTATCTATCTATCTATCTATCTATCTATCTATCTATCTATCTATCTATCTATCTATCTATCTATCTATCTATCTATCTATCTATCTATCTCTCAACTTCAACAAGCAGAGAAAACAAACAAGATGTGAGGTAGATGTTGCAGATGAGAATGATGATTGTGTCGTTGTGAAATTGGTGATGATTATGGTGATTAGATTGATATGATGATGGTGATTTTAGGTTGATGATGGTATGATGATTATTATTTTAAATTGATGAAGATGACGTCAGGTTGTTAAAGTAGATGACGATGATATCATGTTGTTGCTGATGATGTTAATGATGTGAAATAATAATAATAACAATAAACTGAGTTCACCAAAGAAACAAACTATAATGGTGACGACGACGATATATTAACTTGAAAAATAACGTCATGAAAGCATTGACCAACATGAAGATGTAGAATGATGTTTGGCGATGATGAAGATGGTCTACAATGATGGCAACAATGATGAATAATCACCACTATGCTGTTATGTAGAAGAAATTATTAAATTATCATTATAAACTTGTACACTGAAATAGATTGTTTCATTTAAATATTTTAATTCCCGTTGTAACTTGAACGTATTTATTCCATTTTATTAAATATTAAGAGTTATTTTTGAAAAATCTTAAAAACAATTTTAATTTATCATTATGATCTAAATGTTGTTGTTTTAATTGTTCTCGTAATTTAATAACAACGTTTAAATTTTATTTAATCATTATTATTTTAAAATTTTATAAAAATTAGTAGAATGAATTTTTCATTTTAATAAGTCTTGTAAAATTTTTTAATAAACCACAAATAAAATATGGTTGTTGGGTTTTTGGTGAATGAGGTTTAGCGTAATATCTCAAGTGTGTTAATAGCTATTTTTCATAGTTTCACGCGTAAAAATGTACAGTAATTACCAATGTTGTGGTTAAACATCATAGCCACTCCAAAAATATTTAGCAAATCAAGCAAATTAAGCATTTCGTTTACAGACGCATAACTATTTTTCAATCTTTCAAACAAATTTGCTATGATAAAATTAACCAATTACAATAAATAAGTTACGTCTTTTAAATTGAAGCAATAAAAATACTTACAATAAATAAATCAATTATTCAAAAAAGTATAATCAAGTTAATAATTGATTATTAAAATATATCAATTATTTAATTAGAAACTAATTGAAAAATTGATAAGTTGATTAAAAGCGGTAAAAAATGTCTTTTAAATTGAAGCAATAAAAAAAGTTTGTGAAATTGTTAAAAGGTTTAAAAACATCAAAAAATATTAGTGACAAATTACATATTTTTAATTAAAACGAATTAAAAATTTTGAAAAGTGTAAAATAATCAAACCAAAACACTTTTTCAAACAAATAGTAATTAAAATATTATGCAAGTTGTTCCAAGCAAGTTAAAACTTTATAAAATATATGTTCATAAAAAAAATATTTTAACGTTCAAGCCAGTGAAAAAAGTCAGCATATTATGTTTAAATAATATGAATATAAATAATAAATAAATTACAAAATAAATAAAGAATATAAATATTAAATAAAATTAAATGAAAATTTATATTCATCAAAAGTGAAACTATAAACCCATTAAAATGACGGATGATTCAAATAATTCCACATGTCACAAAATTAAGCAGTTTTTTTTAAAAATGAAATTAATTTTTGAAATTGGAGAAAGAAAGTAACGTGGCGAAGAAAGATGAGTGATTTAATAAAGAATAGATGATGCGTGGTGTTGAAGAAACGAAAGCAAGAGACATTAATAATATGGAGACTGGAGAGGTCCTGTTGATATAAGAGGACAAGGGAGCGGAGAATTGTATTCAATCAGGTAGGCCCGAGGTTTAGAAGTTTACAAGTTTTCAAATTTGTTAAAGTTATTTCAATGTATCCAAAAATATATTATAAACTGATATTTATATAATGGAAACATATCTTCAACATAATATTTTTGAGAAATTGTCTGCAGTTAAGTAATTTGGAAATCAATAAGCCTTCAGATGAAACGTAAAACTAGCATTTTTAAATCTTACTTCATTACAATACAATTTTTATATTCTAATTTTAAAAATTATGTTACCAGTGAACGGAGAAAATTATTACGTTGTTTGAGAAGGAGGGTACTTGGAAAAAAGTAGTTTCAATTGAAACGAATTGTGAAAAAAAAAACGTCAGAAAATAGAAATAAATGAAAAAGTTTGTGTGACAACATACGAAGTTGTGTTCGAAACTTTCAGTTACAAGAGTTAATAAGCTTATATGTAGGTTGTGTATGAATTGCACAAAGCCACGGAAAAATGCAACGTGATGATTTATATGTGCGGATATCTTGAAGATACAAAATTTATAACTTCACTCGAGAAATACAACTTAACGCTTTATCTTTGTTAAAAAGAAATACAATTTTTCATCATGTATCAAATGGAAAGAAAATAGAGGCTTAATATGACGAATGCTCCAATAAATAGTTGGGAGTAGGTAGATTGAAATATTAATAAACCTACAAATATTATAACGAACGAAAAATCAACAAACTAATGAACAAAAATTAAATAAATAGTTACATAAAAGCAGTAGCAGAATAAATCGATTGTATTCAAAGCAAGAAAATTGACGATGACGTGACTTTACAAGCAATTTGCTCAATTTAGTTTAACAACTGAGGGAACAAAATTTTATTCCTCATCAAAAGAAGTTTCTGCAACAGAAGAAATCTTGAGAAACACCAAAGAAAACAAATGAATAATCTAAAAAGGAAAACGTGGGTGGATGGTGATAATAATTAAACCGTATCTTTAATACAAAAAAGTTTAAGGAAAAAATTAATACGGCTATCAGATGGAAGCTCGAATGGTTTCAACCAAATGTGAATGATGTTGGATTTGAAAATGCTTTTCCGACCTATCAAGCTCTTTTCAAATAGATGATGGATTGTAAGATTATACTTGTGCTACCTTACAAAAGCATCAAGATGAAAAAAATCACGCCAAAAAAATAATTCTTCCAAATTGTTTCCATCTCAAACGTTATGCCATGCCAGAGCGTGAAACTTCATGAATGATCACGCATCAATGTGAACTGTACAAAAATGTACACCAACGCAAAAATAAGGCAAGTTATTTTAAGAATCATTCAAAAAAAGAAAGATGAAAGTTAAAAAATTAAATCATCGTGTGTGCCGTTGAATTTTTGGTGACGATGTTCATCATTCGTACTTTTTGCAAACACTCTTCCGGTGAAGATAGAAAATACAACAAAGATATACTGGCTTCCGCTCTCAGAATTTGAAGATCTAATGATTCATAAAACTCTCCAATTAAGAAATCCGATAAAAACACGCTGATGCTGGAAAGTGACAGCCGGAAACTTCAAAGTGAAACGTGCGTAGGAGATAATAGATTGACAATCTTCATTTTATATTCAGCACCATCTTTTTAAAACTTTTCTCAACATCATCTGCATTTTCATCTGATTTCATTCACAGGCTTCATTCAATCATCTTCGTTAAGTTTTCTGCATTGTCGTTGTCGTAATAAATGTCACATGCACGTGTTCTACTTGTTGGTCAGTAGCATCTGTTATCTTGTTGTATCTCGCTATTTTGTTAGTTCTTGCGGCCATCTTTCGAATTTTCATCAGTGACTTTTTGAGATTAGTGCAACTGTTCAGTGAAACGTTACTTATCACTATTGCCATTAACAGCATTCTTAAAATATTTTTACCAAGATTATTTTTAATAAATAATTTACAATTTTATCTGCAAGACATTTTCTTTGGCGATTAAAGCATACTTTTGTATTTCTTTTCTCTGGATATGGGTATACTTGTCGAAGAAAAGTGTTAGCTAGGTTCCATTTGCTTTGCCATAGAGTATGTAAATAATAATTTATTAACAGCTTGAAGTCTGAATATGGGATGGGTATATCTGATTTTAAAATGATAAAGCCGACAACAAGCTAATGACCTTTTCAGCAATTTCCGTATACTTTATTTCTATATATTCCCCTGATTTTTCAATAATTTTTTTACGGTCAAGTATGGAGAAGCATCCCCGCATCGCCCCGCCTAATTCTCATCGCTGGACAATTCAGTTGACAGTCCATCATTAATTTGCAACTCCATTTAACTTTATCATTCATTAGCTTATCCATAACAATCACTCATATTGTTTTTAGTTTACAAAAAACTCGCTATAGATAGGTAGATGATCATCATTCTCATTATCCAAGCCACGAAATTCTTCGATCCAACGTTCAAACTTCAAAATTGATTCCTCGTTCAATCAGCTGACCCAAAGACCTGCTACCTAGCCATCGTAGTTTACAATCACCAATCGGCATTGAAATAAATTCTCAAATACAAAAATAAATAATATACAAACTCTGGATTGGACTTCAAAATAATGGCGAAATAAATTATTGTTCAACGCTAATCTACAAACATTTAAATATTTAAATCATATATAAGCGTGTTACTATTCAATCGACATTTCTGTAACTTTTCAACCTTTGCCCTTTCGTTCATTCATTTAGGTATTAATTAATATTATGCTTGGTCATTTAGTTTTTCATTGTCTCTTCACCATGAAAATAATACATCAATCTTTTACTCTTTTGTTTATTCATTCATTCACTCTTTCGTTCTTTCTTTTTTCATTCATTTAATCATTCACTCATTCATTCACTCATTTATTTATGCATTTATTCATTCATTTATCTATGCATTCAGTCACTTTTTTGTTAAATCATTCACTCATTCATTCACTTTGTTCATGCATCAACTTCTTTTCTTTTTTCTGTCGTTCACATATTGATCTACCACAGTGATCATTTACTTAGTGATTCATTCCACTAAGTCATTCATTCACTCATTGGTGAATTGATTCATTCCACTCAGGCATTCATTCACCAATTCATCTACTTTTTGTTCCACATTTCTTTCAGGATAAGTCAAGTTGTTTTTGACGTTGTTGATGTTGTTGTTGATGTTGTTGTTGATGTTGTTGTTAATGTCGTTGTTGATATTGTTGTTGTTTTTGATGTTGTTTTTGATGTTGTTAATGTCGTTGTTGGTGTTGTTGTTGATGTTGTTGTTGCTGTTGTTGTTGCTGTTGTTGTTATTGTTGCTATTGATGTTGTTGATGTTGTAGACGGTAGTTGATCACTTAGCATTCCAGCCTCCGTCCATAACAAAGTTGGACCCGGTTATTTGAGTGCCGGCATCACTGCATAGGAACACACACATCTCTGCTAGCTATTTTGGTGATGGTGTGATGATGATATGATGATGACGATTTTGATGGTGAGAATGATTGATGGTGATGACTGATGATGATGACGATAACAATTATGATGATGCTAATGATGAAAAACAGGTGAATTATGGGAATTTTCGGCAATAATTATAAAAAATATTGTAAAATGTGGATAAAAAAAATCAAATTGTAAAATCAAGATGAACTCCATGAGTCGATGGATCTGTAAGAGAGAGAGACATTGAATGATGACGATGACAGTGAGTAGCATTAATCATCACGAGTTTAAATAAGCAGCAGGAGCACAACCTCTAAATGAAGATTAATTGCAAAGCAAACACAAAATCACTCGTTAAAAACGTTGAAACGTGATTTTTTTATTTATCAACATATCAGACACGTGTGTGGGTTTATGTGTGTGTGTGAGTGTTTGTTACAAGTGTGTGTGTGTGTGACAAGTGAGTGTAACGGATATGTGTCTACAGTGCGATATGTTCATTTTAGTAAAAAGACATCGTCATCAGCTAAGGGTATTTTCATATACATACATAACCCATTACACATACACACACACAACACAGAGAGAGAGAGAGAGAGAGAGAGAGAGAAAGACACGCACACACACACACACATATATATACACAACACTCATAACACACATACACAGAGCAACAGACAGATCAACAGTCCGATAAACACGTCATGCAAGCTTCCATGTCACAGCCCTCAAATGACGGCTCAACCAACTCGTTCATGTATTCTAATCACCTGACACACTTGCCAACATTTTCATTATAACAAGGAGAGCAATTTTTTGAATGAAAAAACAAAAAAGCTTCACAAAGTTGCAATTTACAGGACAAAATTTCAAAAAAGAGAAGAAAAATAAAAAATTGCAACTCAGATTGACGAAAACGTCAATTAGGAGGGAAAATTAATGGCGCCCCGTCTCATGACTCGTTAAAGAGTTGGAAAGATCACATGGGTGATCAAACAAAATATTTTTAGATTAACGATTTTTTTTTTGAAAATTTTTAGCCTAAATTTTGCAACGAAAAATATTTTCACTCGTTATTATTATTTATGGCCAAATTTTTGTAGTGTTTTAGTAACCGACTAAAATTTTCTGGGTACAAATATATCGTCATTAAAAAATCTCAACTTTAAAAAAACAGCGCAAGAAGTAAAATTTCTAATCAATTCCTCAAATATTTTCATACATTATTATTAAATAATAATCAATCATTGTCTAACCATTTAATAGTTTCCTAATTTTTTTAATACCCGTCCATTTAAACATTTTCTGGTACTAAGCATTGAAACAAATAAAAATAAAAATTTCATTTTGTTCAACTACAAGCAACAACTAATAACTTAGAAACTTCTACAGAAAAGCAATGTTGAACTTTTGATACAACAGAATGTTTGCAGAAAAATTCATTCACAATTCGTAAGACATCAACCGTTGAATTTGTTAATATAACTTGTCACTAATTTTACGCCAGCAATAACTTCAATTCAACGTTTTCAATATCTCGCGTGTTGCATTACTCGCAACATAAAAACATTAAAACCTGACAATTAATCGGATGTATAGTAATATAAAAATAATGAAAACATTACAAGATGACTGCGATAATTTCATATCTCATTGTTATTAATTTTCAATGGTTGAATTTTACTTAAGTTCAAAATTGCATTCGTATATTCGAGAGCCAACGGCGAAATAATGTTTCTGGAGTGTGTGATAATTAAAAACAGAGAAGCCTTATAGAGGGAGCCACAAAAATCGGTCAGGAAATAAAAAGTGTCCTTTTAAGAAGAATGATAAAGCATGAACTTTGAATGGCTTCACGATTTTCAACATCGGAAACAAATCAACAACATGATACAATGAAAGTCTTGAAGAGTGATATTCTAAAAAACTGATAATGAAGAGTAACGGACAGTATTGATAACAATAAATGCAAATCACATGGACAAAGGCCTGCGTTTTACAAATTCTCTATATAAACCGCAACAAGTGTTGAAGATAATTGATAAATCCAATGGAGAATGAATTGGAAATCTGTATATTATTCTAACTTTAATAAAATAAATAATGATGACAATAATTTGGTTAGAAACGTTGAGAAATGTAATAAAAAACTATCCAACGCTAAAAATTCGGTAGATTTCATAAATTACTGCATTAATTTTTGTCTTTTGATATATATATATATATATATATATATATGCGTGTAGGTGTGTGCGTATGCGTATGTGTGTGTATACGTAATGTTTAAAAACATTTACACACATATATATATATTATATTTCCCTGCACATATATAAACATACGTATATATTATATAACCCCATTCCTGCACTACTACTTATTGGGGGGCAGTTGATTTTAATATTGTTAAAATATTTATGGAACGTTCGCCACTGGGATCTCGCTGGATTGATTGCATTTCCTTCCCTGTTAACAAATCGGTCAATGCAACTGCTCCGAAAAGTTTTATCTTCCAAGTTTATGTTGCAGGTTGTACGGTGTCTGCAGCTTATGGTTGTTTTGGTTTTATATTACGGTTATATATGTCTATAAATGTTATATGTGGTTATTATGATTATACAAGGTTATGGTTATATATATATGTAAAATTATGACTTTCAATAAAATCAAATTATACAAAAAGAAAAAAGGTTTAACTGTGGTTATATAAGTTTATATAAGTTACTTATGGTTATTATGGGTACAACTGGTTAAAAACGATTATTATGGTTTCAAATGGTTATTTTCTTTAATTTAGAATATTTTTTGTGGTCACTACCTGCTTTCATGTACACATTGGTTCTAAAACAAAGCAAAACTTGAATATGCCTGCATTTATCAGAAGCGTAGGCATGGGGAGAGCTTTGCGGTTGAAACTCCCCCCTTCCAATGAACAACCTGGCTTGGTTACGGCAAAAATAAACGAAATCTCTATATGAATTTATAAAAATTGAACTAAAGGCATTTTCATCAGCCTAAATTAGTAGCAAAATTTTTAAAAAATTGATTGATGTGCAGAAAAAAATGGTCGCCGAGTTTTTTCAAACAAGTTTAAGCTCATCATTAGAAAATTTCTAGATATGCGACTAGCAAATTTTGTTGTTCTTATTATTATTATTTATAAAGTGTTTATTTGTTCTATTTATTTTTGCGATTTTGTAATTAAACGGAGATTAAATCCTAAAAATAAAGTCTTATTTATTTCAAGACAGATTTGCATTTGCATCTCTAAGAATAACTCTCGAAATAAAAACTTGCGATTTGCGAAGCCCAACACGAACATTAATTATTCAAACCAGTTTTATTGGTTTTTTCTTTTAACTTTTACTTATTTCTTCAAATTTTTGCCAGATAATAAGCGATAGATGGGGGGACGAATTTTGCGAAGAAAATGTTTGCCAGCCGTTGGTTATTGCTTCCATAAGATTGAGTTATATTACACTGTTTGAGAAAGAAATCTTTTTAGAAGTTATTTAAAAAACACGTTTTTAAATCTATATGGAAATCAAGAATATTAAATTATTTTGCTCAAAAATCAGATTTCCAACAATTTTAAATTCATCTCTATAAAACAAAACAATAAATAACAAGGATAAAAAAGAAATAGGAAATGTTTAACCTAATTAGCAAATATGATAAAGACTTGGATCGTGAGCGCGAATGAAATGCGCAGAAAAGAAGAAAGATGCAAATGAGGCTCATTATCTTCTAGTGTCACTTTCAAATTTGCTGTTTTTTTTTGCAATCGGAATGATCAGGCAGACTCTGTGTACAGACTCATTCGCGCTAGTCAAATTTTTAAATGGTATGGAATATGAAAATATTCAGCTGTCAATAATTTAAGCACATGATTCAATCAAGACGTAAAGTCGAATGGCTGTTTCAATGATGGTCATTTACGAAGGCGCCATTGATTGAAAACGTTAAAGAGCTAACAAATCTACAGCAACGCTGAATAAATTTTGCTAGATTCACAAAATAATGCGATTTAAACTGTTCACGAAATATACCCATCGATCAGAGCCATTAAAATACAACAAATAAAATGTGTTAATCGTTCCTAACGCAGATTTTACAAACGCAGTGTCATTCATTTTTTAATTTGTTCCCATTTAACATCTGGGTTGGGTCAAGACGTTTTGACACTTGCACTGCGGACCTGACCTACATGAGCAACCTTCATTTGTCGAATGTTCGTCTGCGCAATCTTCGCAAGCATAGCACCGGGCAGTGCGGTGTGGTTTTGAGTTTCAAACTCGCCGACTTTTAAATAAAGTCGGCGAGTGATGAAAATAAAAACAACAGCAACACGGAACACAACAGTTGCATGTATCGTTTGCGTTGACCAGCCACCACCAACGATATGCTAGCACGCAACACGTGACGCAAACAAACAACACAAATAATAAACAATGCAAACAAACAACACAAACAACACAAACAAACTAGCAACACAAACAACGAACAATACAAATAACAAACAACGCTTACAAGCAACACAAACAAACCAAATAATAAACAGGAAAATAAAACAAGTGCAACACAAATACAACGACCAAACATAACACTCACATCCGGGATATATACATAGAACAAAACACACACACGCACACACACACACACGCACACACACACGCACACACATACACAAACACACCTGTTCAACTTTAACTGCCTCCTTCGATGGATGGAAAGAAGAAAGGAACTGTTTCTGTTTGTGGTTTAAAAAGATTAAATTATTATCGCTGGAAAGACATTTGCCATCATAATCATCATCATTACTATTATCATCATCATCATCTTTTTCTTCATTGTCGTCATCACCATCATCATCATAATCATCATTCTCATCGTTATCATTAATATAATCACCACAACGAACAAACACATCGACATAATCATCATCATCGATGATGTCATAGCAGAGTTCATCACATTAAAATTGATCACCATAATTTTTTTTATTTTTGATTTCCATAAATTCTTCAAACCCCATCATCACCATCATCCTCTCCATTGCCGTCACCACCATCGTCGTCGTCCTCATCGCCATCCTTAACATCATCACCATCACCATTTTGAACTCGACCACTTCATTATTAACCCTTTTTTAGCGATCAGTCAATCAGTACCTGCCATCAGCGCGTGTTTATTTAACCTATCTGTCAATCATCTAGTCATCAATACCCATTTCAATCGTTCACTCATTCATCATTCATTCCATGTCACTTATTCACTCTTTTATTATTTCCTCAATCTGTAAACTTCACTAAAAATCTATAAAATCCTATGATAAGCATTTATTTGTAACTGCATTTATTTGTTATTTTTTGAAAAAAACGTTGAAATATTGATTAGATCATAAAAGTTTTTAACAACCAAACATAAAAGTGAACATAAAACTCAAGGAAATCATGAGGCAAACAGATTATAAACCAACCAACCATCCAACCAACTAACTAACCAGACAATCAACCTGTCAACCATCCAATCAACCAGCCAACTAGCCAACCACTCAACTAGCCAACCAGTCAACTAGCCAACCAAACAACTAACCAATAAATAAACCAACCAACAAGTCAACAACAAATTAATCAATTCAATCAGCCAATCAATCAATCATCCAGCCAACAAAACATTCACTCAAACAACCAACAACCAACTTTTGCTTCATCGTAAGTTATCTTTTCCCTGTCTGCCAAAGCCTGAACTTGCATTTTCAAAACTATAAAGAGGAAAGAAAGCACTTTTCACTGAAATTACTAATTTTGATAATTTCGATGATTCAACTATATCCGTATATTTCATAACATATCAACACATAGCTATCTAGATATTGTACATTAATTAAGAAATTAGTCACTAAGAAATACTTTTACGAGCATTTTGCTACAAATTAAAAGCATAAGTGGAAAAAATATACCGAATTAATATAAAATATCACGTTAAAGGTCAAAACAGACACATCAAACGAATTTCCTCTTAAACATGCTTGCGTGTGTGTGCGTGTGTGATATCAGTGATAAATGATAAATGTGTGATAAATGTGTAATTCGGTTTGCTCTATATCATTGTGATTCATTATTTTAATTATTTACGGATGGAATATTTATGGCACGGACTTCAGTACATTATGACTATAAATTATCAGTCTTATATGCTGATTATTTCCCTTACAAAATATATTTTCAACAAAATTGATTCAGACGTAGCAATAAATTTGTGAGTAGTCATCTGGTTCTAGCCAACAATTATTTTCATTATATGAACCTTACTTTATTTTCTGCTGATTTCAAATTTTGTTTTTGCTGTCTGTACAGTTAACAGATAAAAAAAACAAGAGATAAAAATTAACAGATCACAATTTTTTAATTCCATTCCATTCAATCCGAAGGTTGGTTATACATGACTACTTTAATTTTTATAAACATCGTAGAAGATTCCATCAGTTTATTAAACTTCTAATTAATATTAAACACATACAATGGAGCATAAAATTAGTATTTTGTATCTTAATGATCTAATGTTGCTATAGAAGGCAATACTGAAACAATGAAAATGATTACAAACTTGGCGTTTCAACATAGCCTGGCGAGATGGCATTACACGTCACCCCACTGCCGGCTGTTTCTAGGGCAATTACCTGGCGAACGAAAAATAATATTAAGTCACCTGGCGAATGAAAGTTAATTATTTAGCAAATGAAAATTGAAATTTAGGACAGATGGGACAAATGTTGATTTGGCAGATGAGATAATGTAATAGAAGCTTGCAGCTGGAAAGAAAACTGTAAAGTTTAAACCTATTGAACAGGGACGGATCTAGACAACTTTGACAGGGGGACAAAATTTTGTAAATGTTTAAATTTTAACAGGAGGGAGGCTAACATTTTTACGGGTGGCCAAGATTTTTGGTAGTGTGTCTGATGAGACGACCTTTTTGTGGTTGATTTTATATATAAAACGGTTCTTTTTCTTTATTTTCTTAAAAATTGCTCAAAATAGTGCTCACAAATATCAGAGTCAGAGTGCATAGCATGAAATGTTTGCTATTAATTAACACAAGCGTCAAAATTGTTCACCACACGTAAATCATGTTGTACCTACTCGGTACATCAGATGTACACATAAAATTAGATGAACACGCTAACAACATACGAACAGAAACACATTATTAACACGTTGACAACACAAAAAAATATAATTCAACCTTTGTCAGCCCGGCCAGGCCGTGTTTGGCCGAGCAGTAAGCTGCTTTGAAGGGCGAGGCTTTCAAACTGTGGACAGATGCAATGTTTACAATGCGTCCCCATCCTTGATGTGTTTAGGTGTTCAGTGATATTTGAGGTCATCATCATCATCATTGTTATATTTCATCATTGTCGTCATCATCATAATTATCATTGATCATCAATGATAATTATTGTTATCATAACCTTCATTGTCATAATGTTCATTGTTTGTCATCATCATCATCGTTATTTTTAAAAAGGTCACAGACAACATCTTTAGCATGATCATCGTCATCATTGCAAACGTCTATAATGATCATCGTCAATCACCCTTTTCAACATCATCAGTCTAATCTTTTCATTTTATAAAACTATTACCGTCATTATCACATTAAAATTTCCATTTAATACGAATAATGAAATTTGAACAAATTCTTATTAACCCAACCTGAACAAATAAAACATATATTATCACATCAGCAAAAACAACTTTACTTTCTGCAACAAACAAACAAACAAACAACAACAACAATACCGCCAACCAAAACATCATCAACAACTAATTACCATATAAAGTCGAATGAGTGATTACCTTTTTCCAACATCTTTGGCAGAAGAGATCGCGAGAGAAGGAAGGGTGCCGTCAACAGGACAGCTATCAAATCGTTCCATTTCTCTACTGGAAATTCCTGGACTTTCGAAACGTGCTGAAAACCTGGAGGAGTTTATTAATAAAGTTTTTACCAGAAATTATTTTATGACTGCCATTACTACCACTCTTACTAAAATGACTATTGCTGCTGCTGCTGCTACTGCTTCTACTACAACTACTAATACTAATCTAATACTACTTCTACTACCACTACCATGAATATTAATACTACTTACTAGTACTATTACTAATAGTATAGTATTAATATTATTAATAACAACAACAATAATAATAATAATAATAATGTCATTTTATATAGCGCCGTGGCATACGACTGAGACGCATTATCATTATTATTACAACAATACACACGTGGATCAACGCATCACACACTTTTGCATGTGTTAGGTGGAGATATTTTGCATTCGAACCCGGACACTGCGTCAACAATGCCAGGCACCTTAACCATTACATCATCGCGCCACTAGATATTATTATATTATTGCATATTATATTATATTATTACAATATCATTATTATTATGATAATAATAATAACATTATTATTATCAAATACAGCAGTATTTTGTTGTTGTTTTACACGGCAGTGGTTATTAGTAGAGTTAAAAATATTGTCTGTTGTCTTTTTTTAAGGTCTATGTGAAAATGATTGTAGTGTAAAAAATGTTCACCGTAATGTATCTGCTATTTGTACGAGCATCTTAAATTTATGGACGATGACGAAGACATATATTAACGCCCGTCCCTAGCAAGAAGTAGTTGCATTCATAGAAACAATTATTAAAATGCCGAGTATAAATAAATACAAGAATGTTGGCGACAAAAAATAACAACGAAAGAACACAACATTTAAATTAACAGGAAATATCCACAAAGGGTGTACGATAAATAATATTAAGTCATAACTAAATAAACATCAACTACAAATTAAACAACTGCATGCAACTACAACAAATCACATTGAACCACATTTGAGAACGACTGGTCATATTTCAGACCAGATCATCAACAACCAAACAACCAACTCATTCAGCAACTGGACACAACGGCCAACCGGCAGCGACAATTCTTAAAAGTCAAAAGAAACTTAATTAATTTAGATGTTGTATTTTTTCGTTATTATTTTATCTACGCAAACATTCTTGTATCTATACTCGGCGTCTTACAAACTGGTTTTATGATAAATAACTAATTTTTGTACTAAATATGCTCCGTGTAATAATGGACACGCTGCTGCAAACTATGCAAAATTTAATCAACAATAGATAGATAAATAAATAAACATATAAATATAAATATATAAATATAAATAAATATTTGGGGTGGGACTTTACTGCATGTTCTTCGCCATCGTCGAAAAAAACGACTAGCGAGCCAACCTGCATTGTTGACGAGAACATCGACTCCATTCGGATGCAGTCCTGCAATCTCCTGCAACATCTTTTCTACTTCATCCTGCTTGGTCAGATCCGTCGGAAAGTGGTGACACTTGACGTTGTATTTTCTTATCAGGTGGAAATAAAAATGGTTTAAAAATTATGAATGACAGTTGCTAATAATAATTGGAAAGTTAATGTATGAGTTGTGTTTTTTTAGGTGTCGCTGCGTTATACAGTAGCGAAGAAACAGCGTATTCCGCAAGCAAAAGTGGTTAACCATTACATGCAGCAATCAATAATATTCGTGCATGCATAAATCACAATTGAACAGGAGCGCGTACGTTTAAGTATGTACAATTCTTAACATTTAAATATCGCGTAGGTAACTCACAACTGAAACCTATTATGTGTACGATGTAGAAATCGAGGATGCAGTATGTTAACGCAACATAAAAGTTTAGTTTAAAATTGTAGAACATTTTCAAAAATAAAATGTTATAATACTCACCTCTCAAAATCTAATTTAATTTGGTCAATGGTCGCCTGATCCCCAAACCCATGAATGACAAGGTCACTGCCTCTCAGTGCCAGACTTTTCGCCATGCTTAGACCAATTCCGCTGGTTGATCCAGTCACCATGGCAACTTTTCCTCTCAGAACTGGTGAGGATTGGTTTGGGTTATGATTGTTTACAATACATTTCATTGAACCAGTCTATCTTACCGTTCAGCTGGTAAGAAAAATCAATTATTTTTAATTGTGTTTGTTGAATTGAAAGTTTACTTTAACAATTTCCTTCTGACATTATAAACGGTAATAAACATTTAAAAAAATTCAATAAAATGATTTTCATTAACATGAAATTATTGTCATTGTCATTAACGCATGCGTTAACGTATTTGTTCAAAATTTATTTCGTAATTTGATCATCATCTAATTTATTAGCTAAAAATAATAGTTTAAACCACCATCATCATTATCAATAACTTCTTCGTTCTATTCATCATCGTCATCACTATCTCTGTCATCCGTCGTCATCAACCTCATTGTCATCCCCATCTTCATCATCCCTACTCACACTTATCAGTGGACGCTCCTTGGCAGAGGTTGCCATCAGACGCGTGTCTTGAAAGCTGTTCGTTCAAAAAGATTTAATTATTATTGTTATTCAATGTGGTGAAGTTTTAAAAATATTCTCAATCGGTAAAGTTTCTAGTTAACAACTGAACGCAAAAAAAATCTACGATCCTTTTCTGCCCTTGCAACACATGTTAATTAATAATAATAATTTAAATTTTAAAAATCAATATAGTCCACCGATCTACCTCGTTCTCTGACTGCATGCCAATTCAATTTACAATTTGAAATACTAAAAAAGGTTAATACATCAAAACTTTTTTAACGATAACGCCGCAAAACACGAGCAAATGATTTGAAAAACTAAAATAAGGCAATCAGGCAGGCAAGCAGGCGAGGGCAAGGAGCAAGGTCCACAAAATAACACGCATTCATAAATAAACACTTCGAGCTTGAAAGTTTATGCTCCATAAAAATATATTTGAGAGATCATTCAAATAAGAAGTGTCGTTATGTTAGTGTTAGTGTCTTGGAATAGACAAATGGCGGCAGCTGTCGTGAAAACGCGAAAAGCAGTGGTAGTAGAAGTGGCAGCCACAGGTCGTCGAAGAAAGATGTTAAGGTGGCTAACACAGTCATTTATTAAAACTTTTTATGGAAAAAAGGTTGAAATGTAAATAATCAGTCGATAACATAGATTAGTTATATATTTAAATATAAATTATAAAACGAATAAATAAGAAAAATGAATGCAGACCCGTCTCATGAAGTTGTTCATGTTGGATCTCAAGAAAACCACTGACGACGTTGAAGTTACGAGGAGTTTGAAAGTCATCGAAAATGTTTTAATTTGACCAACAAATCTTTTAAACTCGTTCGTTAATTAGAGTTAAATTATTCAATGTTATACTGGCTGGTGCTCAACCTTGTTTACATTAACAGCTATCGAGCTAAGCAAACATATGTTTTAGATGAGATTTTCTATGCAATAATGCGTACCTTCAATATATGTTATATACTTAACGCTCTGGCATGCTTATCGTTTAAAAGTATTACGAATCATATATTAAACAGCTATAAATCTGTGCAGGCTGTATAGCTCGCATTACACTTGAGCTAAATAACTGTATATAAAACTCAGAAGATCACGGGCATGACCTTCAATTAAAACCATTATTTTAACACTCGCAGGGCAATGACATTTAAAATTAACTCCAAATTTGTTTAATTGAACATATAATCTGTTGAAATTTGGCTTTGGAATGAATATAATCTTAAGCTTTGTATGTTAAAAACGCGACTTCGTTCGACAGCGACCCAACACATTAACACGCTCAATTCACGTGCTTCTTATAATAATTTATTTGCGCATTATTATTTTTTTTACAATTTTCACAGCTGTTTCTCGCAACGTTGAAATGAAGCGAGGCATTCAACAATTAGTATTTTCTTTTTCTACATTGACAAAGTTACTTACCGTTAAATATTTGTCTAAAAAATTGTTTTAGAAAGAAATTTGTAATAAAATATTATAGAAACAAAAAGTACAAGGACAGAAGAGCAACTGAATAAAATTAAGTTTATTTCGTTTTAGATCGATGTTGAAACTTGTTGAGGAGTTGAGATTTCAAAAATAATCGAAAGAGATCGTCCACTTGAGTAGGTCAAGAAAAAATAAATTCTGTTTTAAACAGTTCAAGGAGGTTATTGATATTTTTAAGAGAAACTTTGCCCCCTAAACTTCGAAGGCGAACTTTGTAAAGCAAAATGATCTAGTTAAATTGTTACAGCAATAACACTGCAAGATAAAAATGTTATATTAAGAAGAATAATGTTTCATTTTGTTTTTTCCACCTATCGCTGATATGAAATAAATTCTAAATCAAGTTATACAACAGCCATCATTTGAATTAATTTATCATGAGAATTATCACCAGCATAGCATTTATAATGTGAGACAGAAATCAAGGACAATTCCTATGACTAAAAAAAATGTATAATAGATGGCGAATGTTTAAAATTCAGAATGTATTTTTATGTCTGGCAAGCAGGTCTCTTGAAATCTCTCCCATTCATCGTTGTCTGAAGTATGTAAAATAAATAACGTCCAAAAATAACGAACACGTGAAACTTAATAAACTACTAATTATTGACACTAACATACCAATTTTATTTTACCCAAAGTTAACAGGTCATTATAAGATATTTCATTATACATTTTCGTAGAAATAGTGTTTGGAGCACTCAATCATTTTGTTAGGAACGCCATGTCCCCCATATGGCTTCCAACTAACACTGTGTAGTGGTATACTTATATTTTTTGGTGGTAAAGATAACCTGAACACGAAACTTACGGCAGACACTTTTATATCTCATAAAATTCCTTGAATTTTTTGTCGGAGAAAAATTTCCAATACCTAAACAAAGGCCACAGCAAAACCCAGGTTTGATTGCAAAATGTTGCAAATTGCAAAAACTATTGGTAATTCAATTAAAGTTATTTTATTCATCAACAGAAATATAACGTGATGTTAGAAGAATGTTTATTAGTTGAGTGTGTACTCGCTATTAGCAAACTTCACTAAATTGGATGAGTTGGGTCTTGTTTTGAATGCTCAATGGCAAAATATTAAAATCAAATTTGAAATTGAAACATTGAAAAAAAATTATTAAATTTTTAAAATAACACATCTGAAATGTTCATCATTATAATTAAAAATAAAAAGCAGTTGCTTGGTTAATTCTTTCCTTTTTAAACCTTTAGGAAATAACTGTGAGGTGGGTTAAAGTGTTGTGATTTAATTTTTAAAATTTAATTTTTGTTTTTAATGAAACACGACAAACTTAGCGTCCGATTTCATATTTGATTTAAAGTTACTAACTACTCGTTCACTAATTGATTTTGATGATATTGAAGCATAGAAATTTTCAGCACACATCAAACCTCACCTCCACTGTTCTGATAAATCCAGCCCAAATATTTTGTTACTCTGGTATATATTCCAGGTCTTTTCGGTTTTGCACAACCAGCTCCCCAGCTTGTTATGCCTTGCAGGTACCACCTTAAAAATTATTACTTCTAGTTCAATTCACAGATAATACATTTAACACAGCGGAAGAATATTGGTAGACATGGAGTTCATTTCAAGGACAGTCAAAAAATATTGTATGGACTGAGTGTTCAAATGTGAAAATCTGAGGCTGTTCATAAAGAATGTCAAAGCATATTTTGCCTTTTTTTGGCTCCCTTCCCTTCCGGCTGCAAAATTTCAAACCCTTCATGTAAAGAAGGCCCCATTTGTTTGACCCCCCCTCTCTTTAAGTTACTTCTTAGCTGCAAACACTTTGAACTGTTTCATGCATGCTATCGATATCAGGAATAATGATTGGTAAATGAAAATCAACTGCCTTCATTAGTGTTAAAGATAAATCTAAATGAACACTTACCTAACTTTAGGAATAAATTGAAAAATGCAATAAGTTAAGCATCAAAGGAGCAAATTATTTTGATGCCTACTGAACATACTTAAAAATTTATAAACTTTTATTGACAAAAAATTGTCAAGAAAATTTTTATTAATTCATGATGTAAATTGAAAAAGTTTAAAACGAGATGCTCATAAGCCTTCATTTTCTGTCCCTTGTCCGAAATTGTCAAAAATTTGTTGACACTTGACACTTTTTAAAGCGTGACATCCTTTGTGGACAGCCCATGAGTCGCAAGAAGAGAAAACATTGGAGCAAATTACGTTAATAAAATCTACATGAAGAAATTAATTTTTAATGAAAATTTACCTCTTATTGATATTATTGTAGCAAGCTAGAGGGCCTCCACTGTCTCCCTGGCAGGCGTCCTTCCCTCCCTCATCGTACCCTGCACACAACATGGTCGCGATAATCTGACTACCGTAATATTCTCTCTGCGAACAGAAAGTGTAGCTGACGATAGGCAGGCGCACTTGGTTGAGCACGGTTTCATCACCGGTTTCTTCAGAAATTGTTTCAGTGTTTTTAGTCTTCTATTATTAATAAGATGTTCATTTTATAGATTTGTAGATTTCAACAGTAAAAATGGTTAACCTACTTTAGGAAACTTCTCTAATTAGTTAATACTGGTAATCAAATTATATAAAATAGTTAAAAAATTATCACTTTAGTTATTATGTATCAACATTTTCTTTCGAAGTTAAGTATTTTAAAATTTTTGAGAATGTGAATTATTATTACACATATTTTTAAAAATAATGAAATTGAAAATGAGCTCCAACCGTTAGTGTCCCCCCATCCAGTGGCGAAACAGAGGCTGTTCACGGAGACATCTTCTCGAGGCAGACATATTGGGCTAACGCTGCTGTCGAAGGTGAGAGGCGTCTGCAGGAGCATGACGGCGATGTCGTACGGACTTGAAGCAGAGTTAGGGTTGTAGGACTGATGGTATATGACTTTCTGGATGGCTGGCGATTGAGTTTTTCCGTCTAAGTTGGTTTTCTGATCGTGATCGCCTACTACAACTTTGAGGCTTCGAAAGTCGTGTGGTTTGTGCTTTTCGTCAAAACTGCCGAATAGGAGATGTTAATTAGTTGTTAGAACGTTCACATTGCATGCTGCTGACACGTTTATAACGCAGCCATTTTTGTCCAGTTTATCGATTTGACACATTCAGGACGGAATTGCAACAGTGAACCCGAGAAAAATAAAAATAACATCAAACAATTTACACAAATTTTTAAAAATGGACAACAACATTTTATAATAAGATCGGAACAAACAAACAAACTTAGCATGCAAAATCAGAACGAAAAAATGAATTGAACAGTAGAACAGTGGATAATAAGTTGACTAACAAGCAGTGAGCAGCCGTGGCGATCACGCTTGATGAGATTACTGAGCCACCGCATATGTGGTACTGCTTGCTACCGATCACTAACCTTATGCTGACCTGTTATCAGAGGAATTGTTATTTTTAACATTTTTCATAGTAAACCAGATTTTTGGCGGTTTAAATATATTTTTTGGAAATGGAAACTTTCTAGTGGCGCTACTTGTGTATATCAATCAGGTTAAAAAGGACACTGGCAAACAAACTTTAACAAACAAATTTTATATCTAGGGGCTATCCATGAAGAATGTCACTCTTTGAGGGCGGGGTATAAAAACATTTTTAACACTTCGTGACATGGCGAAAAAGGAGATGATAAAATCTTATATGACATACCATTTTGTTTCGATTTTTTTCAATGTAAACCCTTTTATCATACTTTTATCAAAAAAAAGGTAATAAGAAATTTGCTTCTTTGACGTACGTTTTAGCTTTATTCATGAATTAATATCTGCGTTGATCCAAATTCAAAGCTGTAAGAGAGGGGTAGGCAAACATTTTTCTCTGGGGCCGCATTAAGATCTATTTTATCTTTGAAGGGCCGCATATACTTAAAAAACAAATTTTTCTTGACCCGTATGAGAATTTTTTAAGATTTGTGGCTCATTTTTCTTTTTTTTGGTCATGATGTCTGACTGATGACATTTTTTTGTCGAACATTGCCTCGTGGGCCACATAAAATAGCGCGGGTCGTAGTTTGCCCACCCCTGCTGTAAGATGAAGTTGATTTGATTTTTTCGGTTGTTCAGGATATTGATAACTCGTTTTCTGCTGACGTCCGTTAAAAAGTCTCTTTTAAAATACTAAACTAACCTTATAAATTTCATTATTTTTTGGTTTTCATTGCTTTTTTTCATTGTTTCTTTAATACATATGGTTATTTTATAAGCTTTTCCTGTGTTGAGGTCAAAGATCAGTTGATGCCATTCCAGGACGACAATTATTGAGTGTGGCTGAAGCTACTATAATACAACCTGGTAGATCAAATAAAAAGATTGGCTGGCAAATACTTATCATTTTTTAAATTTTTTAAATGATCTGTAATAATTAGTCGTATTCCAGAAAGAATATTTTGTTCTAGAATTCAATCTGTCTTTTCTATACTAGGATAAAGAAGATGAACCACGTGAAAATGACAATGACAATAAATGCTCTTTATCAAAGAGGAAGAAAGACAGATGCAAAATACTGTCGAGGAAATTAGATTTAAATTGAAAAACATTAAATTTTGAAATTCAGCAAACTCCATTTCAACTGTTTTTACAAGAGATCCGCTTCCCCAAAAATTATTTAGAAGATTTTTTTGATGACATTTTCATCCAGCACATCAATGATCAATTCGTTTTATGTGGTAACCTTCAAGAAGAGTGGGGTTGGTCAAAAAATTGTGACATGGAGGGGTTTGAAAATTTGTGACATTTCATGTCAGCAGGCGGATGAGTCAAAGAAATACAAAAATGCGCGATATCTTTTATGGAAAGCCATTAACTAATTTTTGTAACACGACATTTATCTTATCAAGTAATAAGTGGCAGTAAGCATTACGGATATTAATTACTTAAAACATCATAATTCCAACGTCATTATTATCTATTCTTTATTTATTCTTTTATTATTCTTGATTTAAAAAATTAAAACCTGCCAAGGCCACGAGTGAGGCACAGCTTGGTATCCGTTGACAATCCTGGTTGATGGTTGAATGGCTGGCTTGCCACACATATCGTCTGAGGGCTCAGGGGCTGAATTTTGGTTAATGATGGTTGCAAATATTGACTGAATAGATGAATGAATGAATGATATGACGATCAGGTTGAAAAATTAAATCTTTGATTTTGCATTTGTGACAGTTCTTGTTATGATCAGATAATGAAATATATGCATTTTTAAACACTTCGAGCATTGTCACATACTGCCATCATTGATTTTTTTGAGTTTACTCTAAATTGAAACTTTGTTTAAAACAAAAGATCAATTTGTCATCTTAAAAAATCTCTTTTTAAATAAGACGTCAAAAGTTATTGTAATTTTACTGCTCTTAGTGTATCTATCATATAAATATTACAACAATTCAATGATTGCTATGCTCCGTAAGATGACAGCAGAGTCATTATTGTAAATTGCAGTGCTCAACAAAATGAAGCATGTATCCTATCTGCTCATCCAATGAGGTAACCATAACGATTGTGAATTGAAGTATGCATGCAATACTAACGCTTTGGATTAACGGATTCATATTGGATTGCAAACTTTCCGTCTCCCTTCGATTTATCGGTGATGAAGTAAACAAAGAGGAACCGACCTGTTAGTTTGTTGGAATATCAAATAGAATGAAATCAGTGCTGTTGTTCTAGAGGTTTTGTTGTTGTGATGTTGCCACCAATGATTTGGTTGGAGGTGATGTTCCAGGTTTTGAAACGAATGACTAATGTTGTTTTATAATTGAAAGTTGTTTTACATTATGATGGTATGTAATAATTATTATGACTCGAGTGATTTTTTTAAAAACTTGCTTCAAGAATGTTTTGAAGCACAGTAACTTCGATTTGAAACGACGCAAAAACAAATAAACAAATCTCTAATTTGGGGTTATGCACGATGTTTTGTTTTGATCAACAAACAGCATCACAGTCTTTGACAATGAAATTAATTCAAGTTGATAGGACAGATAAAAATTTCCCCAAAGAGTTCGCAAATGTTACATGTATGTGCTCATAAGTTTTAAACTTTTATTAAATGGAGGAGTGATCAATTAAAAAATGACAGCCTAAACTTACCAGTAGACTTCAGTGTTTCTACAGGCAGTGTCTTTCCACAAAATTTTCCAAGAGGGACTCCCTTTTCATTGACCACATCCCAAACGGACACGGAATCATATCCACAAAGCGGTGAGCTCTCGATGTCCATTACTTGAAATGTTAATTTCATCACCTAAATACAAAAAAATACAAATTATTTATACTATATATTATTTCTAAATTCAACATATGAGCTGGTATGTTTCACGAATACATTTTATTTACTTTCAATTTACATTATGAAAAAATATTTAATTTGCTCTCAATTAACTAATTGAAAAGTCCAAATTGTTATAAATTTCTACCTCGCCTGGTTGTGCCACAAACTTCCAAGCACATTTCAGCTGTGGCTCATAACGGCCTTTTGCGTATCCAGGCGAGTAGATGGTTCCTGACGAGCTGTCGCTTATTATCAGCGGGTTTGGACCACAAGGATCTTCATCTGGATTCAAATTTTAAATAAAATATGAACTGATTGATCGTTAAAATTATCAGTAGAGTGCAAAAATTTGTAACGGTTGGTTGAATTTTTTCAATTATACAACAATTTTTAAATTGAGTAAATAATTACGTACTTATTATTTTTGTTTGAGCACTTGCGACCTGAAATATTTGAAAAACATTTGAAAAAAATTTGTTTCATTCAAGAGAAATAATTTCAATATGTGAGAGACTTCTTGGTTATCATGCTTAACTTCAACATGCAACATTTAATCAAACTTTATTAGATTGAGATTTTACGCAAATAGCCTAGATTTGTAATGCAAAAAGTTCATATCATCGATAGAAATTAGTTATACAACAATTTTCGCTCTTCCTATTTGAAACTGTTTCGCCGTTAATTGAAAGCACCTCATATAAATTTTATTGTCTTATTAATAGCCGCTAGGTTTTAGGAAATTTTAAATGATGTCATTCATCGATTTCTAACTACTTCTCATATAAAATTTAATGAAGGGTAGAGCATAGTTTCTTGCAGAACTCACAATCTTATTTTCCTTTGCTGTCTTCAATCGTTTCATCATATTCTTCAATTCTACATGCATCTTAGCTAAATTGTTGTTGTCGTCATCATCGCCATCATTACCATGGTCACCATCATTACCACCATCGTCATCATGACCATCATCACTGTTTTCCGTTTCCTCCTCCTCGTTCTCTCCATCATTGGACTCGCCATCATCATCATCATCACCATCATCATTGTTTGTGTGTGGTTGTTGTTGTTGGTGGTGGTGGGTTTTGAAATATTCCAACAGTTTCAGAAGTGACGAGTCATCAATCTTCTTGCTTCTGGTGTTATTAAAATAATGGTGATGATGATAATGATGATGATGATGGTGAGGATGCTGATGATGTTCATGTTCACTTTGCAGTTAAAACAGTAGTAATGGTAACGTCAATGTTGAATGTATCTCATTACATTACATTATTTTGATAAGATAAAAGATGGCTAAATAAAAAATGATTACTATGAAGATGATGATACTTGTGTTATTGGTGATGATCATGATGATGATGGGAATGATGATAATGATAATAAATGATGATAATAATATTAACTGATGATAATTATAATAAATGGTGATGATAATAATTTAAGAAATTTAGCGATATTTTTGACAAAAATCTTGAAATAAAAAAATACGAAAAAAATTCCCAAAACTAAGATAGCAACTTACTCGGATGGTGAAGAAGGCGGCAATGAGATGATGATAAGCAAACAAACAAGGATGGAACTAGTTAAGTTTTTCATCATTAAGTTAATTGTTTACAAATAAATTTGTCTACAAATTTAAAAAAATGCTTGGCTTTAATTTCTTAAAAAATTTAATATAATTGATAAAAGAAGAGAGATTTTTATTTACACATACACACACACAACACAGAGAGAGAGGAGAGAGAGAGAGAGAGAGAGAGAGAGAGAGAGAGAGAAAGATAAAGAGATAGAGCGAGAGAGTTTAAATGGTGATGAATAGAAAGGTTTAATTGTAACGAAGCTTACAACTGTTTGTTATCTACAAACCGATTACTTTAAAGTATTCTTAATAATGTGACGCGAACTTCAATAGAATGGCTGACGAACGAATGCGTTGATAACAAATATTTTGGTCTGTTTGCAGGCTGACAATGCTTGCTACTCAAACAAACGAAGCTGTCATTTCTGCTGCACATAGAAATTAAGAAAATGGATGAATTTAAATCATCATTAAACGAATTGAATCACAATTATTTGAGTTCTTTACAGGAAGGTGTGCGAATTATCACTTTTACGTCTATTTGGATTAGAGATTTATTGGATTTTGGATTGATTTTGAATCTGATTGAAGATTTTGAAAGATATGGAATTAAAGTTGATGGCCTTTGTTACGCTAATTCTCATAAATCCCGTTTATTTCAGTTTGTGTGGGATGAGGAGTTTCAAAATTTTTAGTTGATGACCCTTTTTGCTAATTTGAGTTTACTTTTTTGTTATATTATCACAGGGAACCTTCAATATTTTCTTCTTTCCTGGTCTGGCAAAATGTGGATGCATTTAGGCATGCACCAGGATCCGCCACTGCATGTGTGCTTACTGTCAATGATTGGGTGATAGAAAAATCGTCTGATTTTGGTTTTGTTTTTTGTTTAGATACCACTTTTGTTGCTTTTTGTAAACCTTTTTTTGGAATGTTGTTTTGAATGTGAAAGCAACAAAAAATCAAACACCTTATTTGGTGATAGCTTGTGTCAAAGAATTAAATTAATAGCCCTAAATATGTATATACTTTAACGTACAACCTGAATATTCGTTGATACTATTAAGTATTAAATACTTTCCATCCCATGACTTCAAGTAGTTATTATCATGACCTTAAGTAATTATTATAACCACGAAGGAACTTATCTCAAGTACTGTTGCTCAACGTTATCTAAAAAAATAAATTTTTACTGTAAAATTTTTGCAGTGCACAAGATACTGATTGCGAAGCTGACTCTTTAACTGTTATTCAGGGTTGTGCTAATTATTTAAAAAAATTGTCTATTTTTTTTTCGAATGTGGTTAGTGGAAATGTGGGCGGTAAATAAAAGTAGCGGTAGTAACTTTTTAAGATTTTTAACTAGTCTAGCCCTCTATAACAGGAATTATGAATTGTTCAAATTTTCCATTTATGTAATCGACTGTATAAACGTCCGTTCAAACTGATGATCAAACATATTATTGTTTTTTTGCATAGTTGATAAAGTTGCGATAGTTTTTAATTTTTGTTTAGCTTGTTTGAAAGTGTCAATATTAATTTTAATTTATGAGAATTTTTGTTAAACATTAGAGGCTTTCTTTAAGTGAAATATTCACGACAGCCAAAGATTTGTTAATATCTAACTGAACCAGGCTTTGGTCTTTCTTTTAAAGTAAAAAACATTTTTTTTTTTTATAGCAGAAAATATTAATGAAATTTATTTAAAAAATGACACGTTCTCAATGAATTGCATCAATACTCAAAGACGAAAACATGTTACAATAACAACAGCAAATCAACAACAACAACAAATCAACAACAACAACAAATCAACATCGTAAACAACAACAAATCAACAAGAACGGGTAACAGCAATAGCAGACCATCAACTTTCTTATTCTAGGACAACTTCTAATGCATTGACGACAACACACGGCTGTGACTATAACAATGGTCCTGGTGTACTAAGCAGATAGGCACTTACGCCAAATTATTATTAGAATATGTGCAGGTTGGGTAGAACGTGCATAAGTACACTTGTACTGATAGATCCATGCATTCACACAAACACTGATGAACACACGCACATTCAGTTAGAAAATATTTAATTTTTATTAAACATAACAGCTTGTTATTACATAATTATTTTTTTTATTATTAATATTATTGTTACTTTTATTATTATTATTATTATTATCTCTAGATTTGGTGATAGTTGTAGTTAAATAGTAGTAGTAGTAGTAGTAGTAGTAGTAGTAGTAGTAGTAGTAGTAGTAGTAGTAGTAGTAGTAGTAGTAGTAGTAGTAGTAGTAGTAGTAGTGGTAGTAGTAGTAGTAGTAGTAATAGTAGTGAAGTTGCAATGGTAGTAATGGAAGATAATGAAACTATAAGAAATTAGTATTATTTGTTCGTGCAATAGTGAAATTTATTAATAGCTACAACAATTATTTGTAGTAGCTGTAGACAATTTTCCAGGCTCCACACAGATTTTATTGGCAGTTCGTAGTGGTAGCCACTGCTGGCTACTTTGACAAAACTGCATCTGAGAATGCTTGCTTGCTCATGATTTGATGAGTTCTTATAGAAAAAAAAACAACAAAATTACTGCTAACACAATAAAACTGGTAAACTGTTTGTGTCTGTTTGCAAGTAGAAGTTTGTTTTTTTATAAGTTTAAAACCCCAACACGATATCTGCCCATTAATTTCCGCCGGACCATCATCAAATTTACCTATCAAGCTTTTAGGTGACGTCACTAATCCGATCGCATCATTAACACGTCATTTCAAATTAAGGCCTCATTCATCACCATCAACAAAGTAAATTATTTAGTTGATAGATTAAATGTTGATTTATAATAAAATACTTAACACTTTAAATTGGATAATTAAATAACTTTTAAATATGTTTATCCACTTAGTTCATAATCTTCAGCATTGTGTACATATCCATTGTTATTTTTTTATTATTATTAACAAATCTTTTAAACATTTTTCAAAGTAAAATATTTTATAACGCATAGGATGCATGTGAGCGCGCCTGAATCCACGCGGGAATATCTTTGCACTTGAATCCAGCAGCTTTATCCATTACACTATCTGCTCGCCCAAAATACTATTCTGAAACTTGTCAACTGAAATAAATAAAAATTTAAAGAGCTGAGTTTAACATTGTTATAGCGAACTTTCCAAAAACCAATTGAATGGTTAATGAAGGATGAGATAGTTGACTTGAATGATCTGAACAGAGGAATGAAAAATTTATTTAGTCGTTTACTCCCAACTATACTATCGATCAACACCAACATCCACATTAAACAATTTTTAATATCTTTTGTTATCTGCTGAACAAATGCAGAGGAATAACTAACGAAACAGCAAAATTTCCTGCAAAACGAATTTATAAGATTAATAATTTGAACTGGGAGGACAACGTGAACAGCATAACAAAGTGCAATCGCCATAAACAAGAAGAGTTGGACAATGCAGCTGACATCAAAACTATCCAGCGAACCCGCTTATGACAAAAGTTTCCCAAGCCACTCTCAAATACAACGAGCACATCGGCACAAAAATTTTTTTTGAAATAATATTATGCAGCGACGATAACAAAGAGAAAGCAAATACGTATATAAGAAACATAACAAATACATGTACAGCAACAGCAAAAATCGTGATATCAAAGAAAACCATGAAAACAACAAAGACAACATCATC